CTTATGGACCAAAAACCATATCTCAGGAAGTACTCCACCGATTTCAATGAAATTCGGTATATAATATTTTCTTAACCCCCTGATGACATGTACCAAATATTCGTGAAATCGGTTTACAACCACGCCTGAAATCTCGATTATCACTTTATCATGCGAGAGTATAAAATGTTGGGTGACACCCGAACTTAGCCCTTCCTTACTTGTTAAAACAATATAAACTTCCATGTTATGTACAACTGTTTAAAGTATGGTTTGCTGAATTCATTTAACGTTAATATGTGACCCATATACATATGTAAATTCTAATATTTAGACTTATTTATTCGACAGAATGACAACGTAAGCCACCAATGTGTAATTTATGGGACGATAATTTTTACAGTTCAACAATGATTCATTCGCTTCCGTCCTGGAAATTACAAAATTCCGACTTACACTGATGGAACAATGTCTCTAGCGAAAAAATGGCAAAAGACTTTTTCGACTGTCCAATATAATATTTCATTTACGTTCTGAATATAAACAAGAATAAGTTTTGAACACCGCGTAAGGCGAGATATTTATGTATATTAAAACATACCAACTATTTTCACGCAATTACACACATACATATGTATAAGTAGAAAACTAACTCCCACATTAAAAGATATGCATATGTACATATTGTCAAAAAAGTTTGAGGGTATTTTTGCGGTATTTTTACTGAATTTCAAATTGTTCATAAACTTTTTTTTTTACTTATGCCCAGCTCTTGACCGATGCTACGGCTGCTACTATGCCTGTCTCATTCAACCAATTCAGCGATTTTATCGCAATTTTCGACGACAGGCCTTCCGGTGCGTGGCGCATTTTCGACCACCTCTACACCAGAACGAAAACGTTGAAACCATCGTTGTGCGGTGGAAATGGAACTGTATATGTGTATATGTAATTTTATTGGCGGCTTGAGATGCATTTTTGCCTTTATCGTAGTAGTACTGTAAAATATGCCGTATTTTCTCTTTATTTTGCTCCATGTTTGCGACGCTATAACTCACGAACGATTTAAAAAAAAACGACAATCAATAAATCGCGTGTTAGCGCGTGAAATGAGCTTTCCAAAAAGGTATAGCGTGACCCGATGCGACGAATAAAACTAGAACTACGCGCTTTCAGCGCCAACTAGTGAAAATACCGCAAGACTTTTTTGACAATCTAATATATGCATATACTCAGATAATTTCGCTTGGTTTTACACGTGTCCGTTGTTGTACTTGCTTATAAGTATGTTTCTTAATAACAATGAAGACAGTACCTGTCTTTCTCATGCATTGGAATATCGAAGGTTTTCTCCGTCTTATTTAACAATTTGATAACTTCTTACCACAAAATATCATATTTGCGTGTAATTGAATAGGCATATATCATTATATAAATGTTCTCAACGTTAGTCATGAAAGCATAAATCTGGTTTTCGAATCTATTCCGTATAAAAAATGCGTTTTAAACCACTCCATTATAACCAAATAAATGTAAACAGTTAGTCATAATGCCCATATTATTAAAACATCTTGACGTCTTGTTAAAATATAATTCCTTCAATAAATGTTATAAAGATTTGTTAGAAGTTTTTCGGTGGCTGACTCACTTTAAAAATCATTAATTAACAGTGTTGTTAGAAACCATGATATATAGTTTACAATAATAAAAAATATAGTAAAAAAATGTAAATTCTGAAATATATGCAATTTTTTATACTTCATATGTAACTTTTATATTTGAGGACTTATTCCCACGGTTAGGCACAGGTTTATTGCCCGATCTATAGTAATAGTTAGACCACTGAATTAAGTAAAATTAAATTATTTAAATACAATTATTTTAAATAGCCACATACGGATTAAACTATTTCAGTAGAATAAGCTGCTTTAGTTTCGAACGCTATTGTATGTGCAAATCAAAGAATTATAAGTAAACAAAACTTGTTTTGACTCAATTTTAAGAGAATAATGTATATTATTATTAGCAGTGAGGTTGTTCCTATTTAAGCTGAGTAAAATATAGTCACCTGAAATGCAAAACAACGAATCATCAGAAAATTAGAAATTGAGTTTTTTATTAATTACGATCCCTTATATCATACTACATACACAAAAGTTTTAAATTTCTGCTGTGATCAGATAAAACCAAGCTATTACCAAAACTAAAATTTTGTTTCAATAAAACGCTTTCTATTTTACATAATCTTTTCTTCTCCTTTAAACTTATGAAAAGTGATGTTAAGATATTTTGTATATTAAATGATGATATTTAGCAATGTATTAATACATACCTTACTCATCACTGAGTAACTAAAAATTAAAATTCTGATTTTAGCGCGCATTCTCAATTTGTAATGAATGACATGGGAAATTCCTTTAAAGTTTGCTAAAGTTATCTAAATAAGTGTGTAAGTATTGTTATTTTATAAATTTATTATCTTTCGATATAAATATGTGAATTAGAATTAGAAATAGAAATGTTCAATCTAATAGTAATAATGCCTGACTGTTTGTGGATATAAATGACTATTTGAATTTAGATACAAAAACAATTATACTCACCATTGGTTCCCACTTCCGTATCACAGGAGACAATCAATTAATCAAGAAAACGCCACAAACTATCAAAATTTAAACATACAATAAACGTTATTAAAATTGTAAATATATATGTACATACGTTCATAAATATATAATATTAAACAATAAATAAATTGCATACATGAAAGTAAATAACAATTGTTTAATATCGTTTGTATGAAATATACAGTAATGCAGTATGTAGTTTTTGTAACCGATCGAATTGCGTAGACGAGTGCATGAAAGTCCAGTGGAAGTAGCTTTGGTCACTAGAGGAGAAGCCAGATAAAATTATATATACATATGTATGTATTTATTAACGATGAGTTGTTTATATTGACGTAGAATTAGAATATGTGTCTGAGCAAGAAACTGGCACTATTCTCTTGAAATTTTGACACTGGTCGATAGATGAGACGGACGATGATGCTGTATGATTAGCTGGGAGAATCTTCATTTAAAACAAGTTATTTTGCATATTCAGATTTTGTGAGTTTTATAGATTTTGTTAAATGTTTTTACGTTTCGTCTCAATTTTCATATCTTCAATATAAGAAGCGATCAATTTTGAGATTCCACACTATTCGCGAAATAACTACAGTTGTGTAAAGTAGTAAAGACAATACGATACGACAAGTATTTTATTTTATATTTTCAAATAGGCTTTTGCAGCAAATAGCGAGATGAAATTAAGAATTTTTACCGTTTTCTTGTTGGTAAGTATGAGTATGTAACACGATTTTCAGTACAATTATATGAATTTATCTAATAAACAATATTAGTCATAAATTTATCCAATAAAATTTACAAAGAGTAGTGAAACCCTTTGGTAAAACAATGAGAAGAGTTTTCTCTTCTGTACATATGTAGGATATATTTTTAGTGCATGATGTAATTATTTTACAAACGTCAATTTTTATTTTTCAGTTATGTATACATATGTAAACTTTTAATTGTGGTATATATTTTCAAGGCGCTAGCAACCCCAATTCTTGCTGAAAATATCTTCAAGATTAATATTTCACCAGAGGAAGCCCAACAATTTCTGAACAGTGCAAATCTTCGAGGTCTAGACAATATTGACTACGCTCCTAAGACAAGTGAAAACGAGCTGCCAGAATCTCGCAATGAAAAAGGTGAGTTCGTATACATGGGTCGTGTGATAGATCACCCTGAGGAATATGTGGAAGAACATTATGACGCTCACCAATATCATGGACAGGACGGATTAGGCCAATATGTGTATGGTTATCGTGATTGGAATCAGGGCAAGAATGAAAAGAAGGACGAATCAGGCACAGTAAGTGGTTCATATAAGTATGTCCAACCCACTGGTCGAGATTTTGTGGCCAAATACTACGCGGATCGTACAGGATTTCATGTCGACGATAACCGACCAGCCTATTTGAAGGAGCCTGCCACCAAGACACCGGCAGTTCGCAAAGCAGAGGAAGAGCATTTCAAACTGTGGGGTGAATTAGCAGCTGCCAACGGTAACAACCCTGATCCATTTGCTCCTGAATATCAACAGCAACGCAATGAACCTGCGGAATCGGAATACAAGGAATATGTTCATCAAGAACCACCCTATGTTCCTGGACCTGAGGAAACTGGTCCTCCACAAGGCTTCTTCTACGCTTTTGACTATAATGTACCCCTATTGCGAAACAAGAAGGAACGCGAAGAGTTGGAGCATCTCCGAGCGGAAAATAATAATAATGAGTGACATATAAGTTTATTTAATATAATCGATATACAATCAATTGTCTTTTATATTATTCATTCATTTAGTTGACTTTAAAAGTATGTGCAATGAAAACGCTAAACTAAACTGAAATGAGAAGCTTGTCTTATAAAAATATAATTGTGAATTACGTTTCGTTGTTAATTCAGTAATAAAAAAAGAAAAGAATAATGTCCTCATAACAATTTTTACCATAAGTGCTACATAGATATATAGGTTATTATTCATAATTACCATCTAAAATATTATATAACCTTTTTGAATGTGTTGAAAACATGTATTTATGCAACCGAAATGTTTAGAACAAAAAGTAAAATAAATTTATTGTTCCGCGAAAAGATGAATATCAATTTCGAAGTAATTTGTATAATATCAATTCACATCCATCTGCGCCATCAATTGAGGAAAATTAACACAGATTTCACCCATTTTTAATACAGAATGATAACATGTTATGTAAAACATTATAACGAAATTTTAATGAAATATCTATCATTCTGTCTCCTCTCTCAAAATACAAGCGGCTTATAGTTGTGTTAAGCTGTCTTTTAGAAAAGCTCACGAAATTTTAGAGCTTAAATGAAACAACTGGATGTGTATAACGTATCATCCAAAAATTCGAAATTGAATGTCTTATTGATTATAATTCACAACTGCAAATTGTATTCGTAAAATATTACATATGTCCAACATTTAAAGGTTCTGTATCAGATATAACTCAGTTTTAACAAATATTTAAATTTTTTTCACTCATGTTCCATTTTATTCCGTGTTTCATTCATGCCACTGTAAATTTCCGAAAATGTTGTTAAGTTATTTGGCATTTCAGGTGACGATATGTACTTACATATTTTAGAATTAACTTTTAATAGAAAAAGTTATCGCCATAAGATTAACTGAACTTAAATATAATTTTGGCATAATAAAGCAAATACCTTATGACTTTACATGTTTAATAGTTGCTTTTGAGGAAAATATAACTTACTAGTGTGATCAAATTGAAAGGTGAATGTTGTCCATTTCATCTCCTTCAAAGTAATCCCCTCCCGTTCATAGCAATTGGAAAAATCCTCCGTCAGAAGTTACACGAAGGTAAATCAGGCGAATGCGGTGGTTGCGGCACGATATTAGTTGAAAATGTGGCGAAATGATCACTAATATTCAATACAGTATGAGATGGTGCATTATCGCACTTCTTTGTTAAATAAATTCAGACATAGTAAAAATCGAAGAATTAACTTTTACAGCCTCACAAAACGAAGCGTATCTCAAATACTAATGAATATTTTGACATGAAATTTAGCATAGATGTCACATCCGTACTACCAACTTACAGAAAAAAATATTCCGATTCGAAAAACCCGCGGGGTATAAATTAAAAATTTCAATTTGACCACAGTAGTATATAAAAATCCAACTATAGTTTTTGAAGTAATTGAAGTGTAAATATCTCTTCAGATTGCAATATATTCTTTTCTTTTATTATATTCTATTGGTGTATTCAATCGGTAAATTTAATGTTTGTTGTAAATACTATTATTTATACTTGAAAATATAAAAGTCAAGTTTCTTTATTATCTATATATCAATTTTTATAATATAAAGTTACAAACTTACAAAATTATACATTGCTATTTCACATTGTATATCTTATCGTTTTTATGGTTGTATATTTTACATCCCTAAAACGTTATAATAAATTATATTTACCTTAATCATTCACACTTACAACTAGCCCCCATCTTTCGTGGGGTATAATAACTTACCAAGTATTTTAATTTAACTAGTTAATAATTTTACAATTTTAATTATATATTTCTTTATATTTAGTTAAATATATTGGATTAAAGAACTGAGATTTTCAGAAATATTTACTTTAAAAAATCACAATTCAGTTGTAATACGTCGACAAATTATTTATGCCAAGACAAAAGTAGAGTATTTGTATTTATACACTCATATGTATACACATATAATTTATTTTTTCCAATCAAACTGATACAAATTATTAAACACAGCAGTCATATTCTCCTCATGGCAGTTATGATAGATATAGGTATCTATATTATACCAGGGCAGTGTAATAGAGCACCAAAACACTAATGTAATTAAATTTACATTGTATAATTGTACATTCAAATAATTTTCATCAGAAAAGTCGTTTCGGCTTCTATAGGAAGATCTACTTACATATACATATTTCGGTTGCACAATAATTTCCCCCCCAAGTACATATGATGTACGAATAGGCATAATTTGCTGGATTCATAGCCGAGACCATATGTACATATGTGTGTAAAAAAGGCTATTTTAAGTTTATGAGTATTTCTCTGGAGTTGAATGTAAGGCATATTATCCAATAATTTACTGAAATAATTGCGGTTCTTCTGCGACTTACAAATTACTGTACTACAATTCTACCTCAATCTGGTAATCCTCAAATGGAGAATAATAAAGTTGTAAAACTTGTAGACACCATAATTATTATTTTCATGACCATACTCACTTTTGGGAAAGGAATTGACTGTGTCATACGCCTTAGTTTCAATGAATATAATCGTAATTTTATAGGAGTCTTACTGTTCTCATTTAAAATTTAGTTCTTAAAATATCAGTTCATATACAACGTAATAGTTTTGTTACCGTTGGGTCATTATTGAAATTTCGTGACATTGTTTCATTCATAGAATGTTATATTAAATAACACAAATACAAAACTATCTAAAAAAAAAAGAAAATATGCAAAAACTGCTAGTTATGTTCATTATATATTTTGTAAGAAGCATTTAAAATAATTAAGGGGTACACCTAGTCCGAAAGACTAAAAAACCGATTTTTGGGGATTAAAAAAAATACCGTATAAATTGTTTTAAAATTCTAAGGGTATAATATTGTTTTTTTTTTTTAATACAGAAAAGTTTTAGTAGAAAAAATAATGCGGTATTTTTTTTTCTATTTGTTGATAGAGACCTATAAATATAAATAGAAAATGAGGATTTGAAAGTGATCGAATCATTTATTTTTGAGCAGCAAATTTATATATAATAATATATAATCATAAATATTCATCTAAAATTTTAGTGCGTTATTTTTGAAGGTGATACATACACTTGTATAGATAGATGCAAGAAAAAAATTAAGACTTTCGAAATTTCTTATTAGGTGGTGTCCCTTTAACTAACTTTCTGCAGAAGCTTGCAGCAGTTAACTTTACTGCTTTTAATGAGTTAAATGAAATCCCAGCAGATTTCAAAACATAAATAAAAAGATGATCAAATTCGATACTTCGTTTTTGAGTATATCATATGTATGTATATATGAATATTAATTTACTTCTAAACCTAATTTCATAACACTTTGGAAATATAAAGTAATCATTTACATACTTTATATTCGTTCAATTTAAAAAAGCAATCCAAAATTTTACTTATATTTAAAGGACGTAATTAACATTGCAAATGTTACCTTTAGGGAAAACTTAAAGCAACAATCGACATGAAAATCAATGAGTTTCCTTAAATAATTTCGTAAACAAATTTTTCCATTACAAAATCATATCAAATAAAAACTAAACCAAATAAATTGATAGTTTAGTTTTGAAACAATACTTGTTTTATTAAAGGCTAATGTTTTCGTTTAAGATTAGCGTCCCTACAATACAAATGATCGCACTTCTTAATCATATACAGTGACACAGGAAAATGATCACGCTTCAACCGAAAAGCCTTTTTTTTTTTGCGTCTTAGATTTGCAGTCAAACACAAACCCGACTAAATATTTATCTTAGTTGGTGTTTGAGATCTCTTTACGAATATGTTTACGTCCTCACAAAAATTAGAGTTCGCTTCAACCGAAAAGCCTTTTTTTTTTTGCGTCTTAGATTTGCAGTCAAGCACAAACCCGACTAAATATTTATCTTAGTTGGTATTTGAGATCTCTTTACGAATATGTTTACGTCCTCACAAAGATTAGAGTTAAGTAAAATTTCAGCAATATACCGAAGGGTAGGGTTGAGACTTTTGCTGGAACAATACAATACAAATGATCGGACTTCTTAAACATATACAGTGACACTTTTTTCTCGTCTTAGATTTGCAGTCAAACACAAACCCGACTAAATATTTATCTTAGTTGGTGTTTGAGATCCCGTTACGAATATGTTTTACGTCCTCACAAAAATTAGAGTTAAGTAAATTTTCAGCAATACACCGAAAGGTAGGGTTGAGACTTTTGCTGGAAGAGTACAGACTTGCTCAAAAAAAAAAATTATTTCATAAAATGGAATCATTTTAATTTATTGGCTTCATTATAGTGTGGGGATTGTTTGGTGAAAATGTGTCACGACATTTTCTTCCAACAGGATAATGATTTGAAACACAAAGCAAGGGGGGACTATCGAATGGGCTCAGGACATGGGCAAGTTTCAATTTAAGTATGCCTAGAAGAATCAAAGCCATTATAGATGCAAAAGTTTTTTATACGAAAGATTAATTAACATTAACTTTTAACCCTGTTAATATTAAGTCATAAAATTGATCACACTGAAATATTTTATATTTAGCTTCATTATTGCTTTTATTTGTAGTTGTTTAATGAAAAAAAAAAATAACAGCATTTATAGCACATCAAAACATTGATACCGAGGGAGTTGTTGTTGTTGTTTTAACGATTATCCCCGTTTGGGTGGTAGGGGTCATTTGCGTTGACGAGGTCATCCAACGCGAGACCCAGGAAACGTTCTGTTTCGATGGGGTCAGACCAAAGGGAGGAGGGTTTGTAGGGCATGCAAAGAATGCAAAGAAGTGACCAGTATCATGCGAGGACTCGTTGCATGCAGGACATACGTTGGGTATGTCTGGGTCAATTCTGGATAAATAGGAGTTTAACCTGCTACAGTATCCAGAACGAAGTTGCGCTAGGGTCACTCGTGTTTCTGGCGGCAACTGGAGCTCTTCGTCTGCAATAGGTGGTGGTTTGACTCCAAGAACGCCATTCACGGGGAGGGAGTCGGTGAAGGTGTTGATGGCTCCACTGTGAATGGCGGTCAGTACCTGTCGAAAGTCAGTTGCGTCCGAAGTCCGGTCGGCGTACTGTACGATGTCGTCGACGTAGTCAAGAAAGGACCTTTTGATGCTCCTGGAAAGCGGTTCCGCTCCCAGCAGATGGCTGCAAGGGTGATTCCTTCGGAAACATCCCAGCAGGAACTGTTTGGAGAGGAGTTCATTATGCTCCTTTACAGGAAGCATAAGCGTCTCACTGTGGAGGTGTTCTATGGGAGACATCAAAAGACATCCCGTCGTTGTCCGGAGTGCAGTATTCTAGCAGGTTTGAAGTTTCCTCATCTGCATCCAGGCGACCATATTGGAGCTGCGTAGTTAAGGACCGGCCGCCCGATTGCCTTGTAAGTTGCCAACAACGTTTCTTTGTCTTTTCCCCATGTGCTGCCGGCTAGCGAATTGAGGATYTTGTTGCGGCTCTGTACTTTGGCGATAATCGCGGTCGTATGAGGAGAGAAGGAGCATAGACTATCGAAGGTTACGCCTAAAATCTTAGGGTTATTGACGGTGCACTGTGCACTTTTCGGAATCCATGCTGGTGACTGGCTAGGCTCAGGTGGTGAGTGAAAGTTGGGAATCGCAAGGCCTCAAGCGTCTTCACTACTGGGGAGAGGAGAGTTATCGGGCAATAAGATTCCCCTTTGTTGGCGGGTTTCCCAGGTTTCAATAGTGAGACCCCTCTTCCGGTTTTCCACACATCGGGAATTTGGAGTGGTCAGTGACAGATTGAGGACATTGGTGAGGTAACCTACTCCCGTCGAGCCTAGATGCTTTAGCATTAGCATGTTGATTCCATCAGGGCCAATGGATTTGGATGATTTTGCTTTTTTGATGACACTCTGAACCCCTTCGTCGGCGCGCAGTTGTTTGGCATTTTGCGCCGCTCGCGCACTTCTTCGGGTCCGAAGAGGCATGATCATTGAATTGAACTTCAACTCGGTCGTCATGTCTCTTCGGATTAGACAAAGCTTTGACAGTAGCCCAAAGCTTACTCACACCGGTGGAGAGGTTGCAGAACTTCAGGTGCTCTATCCATTTTGTCCGCTTATAGTGGTTTTCCATACGCCGAATCTCCAAATTGTGATCCCTTATTCGGGGATCCCCGGGATCGGAATGGCATAAGGTGTCGCGGTCGTTAGCTAAAACGGCTGCTACGGCTGGGAAATTGGGGCGGATTTCCGCTATTCTTCCAGCCGGGATGAAGCGAGCGGTAGCTGCTGCGATCACCTTGCGGAATTGACATTCGCCAATGCATATGTCCATAGGAATAGGTAGAGCGTTGAAGGTGCTCTCGGTAAATTCTGTGAAGCCGACCCAATTAGCTTTTTTAAAGTTAATGTAGGTGCGGTTGTCCACAGAAACGAAATCGGGATGCTTCTCGATCGAGATAATTATGGGCACATGATCTGATGCGAGAGTTAGCATAGGTGGCCAGGTTATGATATTTATCAGCACCTATACAGGTGCCCATAATTCTGGTGGGAGCGTCGTCATTCATTGTGCAGAATGTCGAATCGTCAATCTGTTCAGCCAGCTCCACTCCCCTACGATCATTTGACGGGAGCAATGCCAAAGATCATGGTGCGTGTTAAAATCGCCTAGTACCAGACGGTTCTCACCACGATGTAGCGCACCTATATTCGGGTGATATCCTGTAGGGCAACATGTAACTGGGGGGATGTATATATTAAATATTTCGAGCTCGACATCGCCTGACCGGATAGCTATGCCCTGACATTCTAGGGTAGTATCCCTGGGGTCGATGTCCTCATCGATTAGACGATACTGCACGGTGTTGTACAATATAAAGGCTAGGCCGCCACCATTATCTCGCTCGCGATCTTTACGCAAAACGTTGAAACCGACACAACTCAGAAGATCTGAGCGGCTGTTTAGCTTGGTTTCTTGGACCGCAGCTATACACGTTCTCGATTCATGAGTGCAACTATCTCCTCGATCTTGCTCTGGAGTCCGTTGCAGTTAAATTGAAGTATCCTGGTTTGTCGCGGGTGTCCGTGAATGATCCTGGGGGTGAGGGAGTGACGTGCAGGTGATGTGTGTTGCAGCTGCAGAACCCGCAGGGGCGGTTGTCGCGCTGGGGTGTTGGTTGGCGACGCCACTGTAGTGTGTTCCGGGGGCAGACTCCTGCAGCATGGGGCAACGTAGGATTCACTCCACTCACGTTTGGTGCGCAGGCCGGAAACCGCCGGGAAGTGGCACCAGCCAGTGCAGGAATTGCACTCGACTGATGTAACATTCCGATGTATGACGGTCTGATACACGGAACAGACTGTGCGAGGAACCAAGAGTTGCTGATTGGTTCTCGCACGAGGATTGGAGGGGGATCAATCGTGTGAGTCACTGTATATACCTAACGTATCTATGTGCATCTAACTGGAAAATAATACAAAAGAATAAAGCGGGATCAATCGTGTGAGTCACTGTATATGCCTAATGTATCTATGTGCATCTAACTGGAAAATAATACAAAAGAATTAATTATCTATTTTGCTGACGCCGAAGTAGCAGGGATTTTCAACTTAGCATACATGTTGTCACCACTTGTGGTTGTGTCGATTTTATTGAGATCCAAATGTTGTATCTCATTTTCTAAACTAATACAGTTTTTTTCGTAATTTATCTTTGGATCACAGTCCATTGAAGATTTTTCACAATTCTCAACACTTGCGACTTTTTTGTCTTTGCTTTTTTTCAAAGCATTGAGTAAAGTTTTATCTTTCGATTTGCTTTCTTTATCTTTATCTTTTTCTTTGTTTTTATAGTTCTTGAAACGTGGGAATATACATCCATTAGGTAAAAACCCAACTAATTTTTCTTTTTTAGTAATAGTTGATGCGGATACTGCGGGGGAAACCGTTGTATTCATTTTTATATGATTGGAAGATGTGAGTCCTGAACTTGTACCTATGTTATTTATAGCGGGAGTTTCTATTGTGAGTACTGTGCTAGATGATAAAGGCGAAGGACTATCAATATGTTCAACACCTTTCCTTTTACTTTTTTCTTCTCCGATTATAAGTTGAGGGCCAGAAAGTGTTTTGACAGATACTTTTCTATTATCGCAAATATCGGTTGTGGCAGATAATTTATTAGTTGCATCAGTTTGATCCTTTCCGTCACTTAAAATATCATCATTACCACCACTTGCGATATTAGCACATATCTCATACGTTTCTTGAGGTTGTTTTAATTTTACAGTGTCCTTTATATGGACGGTGACATCACCTGCGGCAGATGTATTTGTACTATCTGACTGCACAGAAACAGTTCTATTATTTAAGGATTTTTCAGCTAAACTACCCAACAAAAGTTTATCCGAATTTTCTGTACATACTGTATTAATTTGTTTCTGTTCGGAAATTCGTACAGCTTCAGTAGACCTTGGAAACATCTGTTGAGTGGTGATGCTGTGAAAGTGATGCTGCTGTCGTTGTTGTATAATTTGTTCCTCCCTTTCTCGATCTCTTTGGGCTTGCACCGCACTCCAGACATCTTTTAGTTCTCCAGATATATCCCTATCCTTCAAAATAATGGCGTTCCTAAAATAAGATAAAATAAAAAAAAATGTATATATATGTATATATATAAATTATACGTTTCAGCAAATACTGCTATTAAAAACATTGAAACAAAATTCATCAAATGTAATATCGAAAAGCTTGTTATCATTAACGTTTACGTCTCAAAGATATGAAATCATTGATGATTTAAATTGTTCCGTGTGTAAAATCCAGCAGCCACGTGGAGTTTACTTAAAATAATTTTTTAATTATGGTTTTGATAAAATTTTGAAGTCTGTTTAGATATAGACCCAACTATACTAAATGCGATATTTTTTCTATTGAAAGTTAATAGTTTGTATATACTATATTATTATAATTATCTTTAATGTTCGGTCTAGGCTATTTCATTCTAGGAATTGTTGTTATTTTGTGAACACAGAAAACATTCCTGAAGTAATTTCGAGTACAACTTAGACTCGACTGTGGTGGGAACGGATTATGTAGATTGCGCTATGTTAAAAGCCAAAATATGTCATAATTACTACAAAATATACGGTAAAAAAAAAAGAAAATTGGTGTAGACAATTGCACCACCTAGCCTTGAGACTATGTTCTGTTGCAGTGGTTTTCAATCACATCATCAGATAATTAGAAGTCTCAAAGTTAACAATTGACTTTGAAAATCTCTTCCAGTCATCGCAAATTATAATTCAACTTTTTCTCAACACAGTAGCTACTCCGTTTATTTTGTAAATACTCTGATTTGAGATTTCAATTTCAATATCATACCTTACTAATTTAAGACCAGGATTCATTGCTTCTACAAAATCACACATTAATTCAACCATAGCTCTGCGTTCCTCTGGATCTTTGCTGTGACGCCCAGAATCCTTTAAAACTTCGGGATTTGCCATAACAGCAAACACAATAGGCGGGCTTCTAGGACTTCCTGGAGGGACCTATAAATGTAAACCAACATTTACTATGATTATTATTATTTTTTTTCTTTAATCGTACCCTCATTCCTCCATATAATGGTATAGGGTCGGTAGGCTCTTGTGGTATCACTATTCTCGTCCAACTAAGTACATTAATAAATAGTTCTTCACCTGATTCTGAGGTTGTGCGAATACACATATGTGGTTGTGGTGGATTTTTAAAATGACGATAGGCACGCGAATGTCGGTAACTATGGGGTGGAGGCGAGTTTTGCATTAATGATAGATTTATCCCCCCTCTGGTATCGCTAAATTGGGTTTCTTCTTCGATCGCAGAATTTGTACTAACCATGTCGTCAGAACAGCTAATTGCAGGTGTCTCGGACTTGTCACGTTGCATAATTAAGTTTTTGGAATTCATTTGATTTGAAGCCCCCACAAGCGCAGTTGCAGCCACTGCTGCCGTCGATGTTGCAGATACTACAGCCACTATGTTATTAAATTGTAATTCAGCAGAAGTTCCACTTTCGTTCATCAAACTCGACATAATCTACTCAACTTCTTATCGCTAATATTCGAGTTTATCTTCCTATAATGGTGCAGGCTTAAAACAAAACTTTGAGAACACCTTTTATATTTTGTTACCTGAAGTTGACGTCTATATTTCTAACTAAATTACAATTCTCATAAAACAGATCAACTTGAATTATATTATTGCAAGTTTCATGTTATGCTAATGCAACATGAATAAATATGAACAAAGCCAGCAGGAAAAATAAGTTTACCACTGCAACATGCTAGTTTTCTTTCTCACTCTTATATCCCCACGGTAAGTCCTGAGCATGTTAAGGGTATTGAGAACTCCATGATATATTTAAGTTTTATTTAATTTCAATTATGATTAGAGTATAAATTTGTACAGCTTATGGCTCCTCAGAAAATGGTAGTCATTTTTCTTTCAAGCACATTTCCATTTGATTCATTCCGAATATTAAGAATTCGTAACTTTCTGTATTTTTATTTTTTTATTGTGCCATTCCACATATGTAAATACACGCGCGATATGTATACCAAACTGCCATTGTTTGCTTCAAATAATTAAATATCTTGCTTGCACACGCATGTATGCGCCCATAAAAGCAAAAGCCACAGATTGTTTACACTAGCTTCACTGTTGGCCATTTCTAAACAAGTATATGCATATATATATTTTTACAGCTTCCAAAATGATTTAGATCCCGAGTCCCGAGTCCCGTAATTGACGTATTGTGTATATTAATTTCCTTAAATGTGTAAGCTCATAAGTAAGCTCATTTCCTTGGAATCGTTCTAATGAGATCTTTATGGTATCTCCATTGCTGATGGTGGCTTAACACCCACTACATTCAAAGTAATTCACACCTTGGCACAGCGGGAGTAACGATATAAATGTATACCATGGTTCATACAACAATATTCACATAAGAGGGTTTATCTTCCTCCGTTTACATCCACATCAATATAAAATCCACTTTTTATTAATACCCATAAGCAAGTTATAGGTTTTAAAATAATTCTAAGTTCTAATCAAACTTTCATTAACCATTATGAATTACTTGGTTTACTCAGAGATTATTTTATGTTCTCTGGTTTGCTATTGTCAATTAATGTTTTCTAGTTTTATACATATTTTTGTGTACACTTTACCAGAGAATGTTAATGGATTTCATTAGCTTTACATTTTCTGCTATTACAAATATTGCCAGACTACTTATTAACATCGGGTGTATACATTTTCTACTATTACAAAATATTGCCAGTGTACAAAAAATTAAAAAAAAATGCTTACAACAAATTTTCATAACTACTAATAGCACATTATACGAACTATTTATATTATTTAGAGATTATATTTCGTTTTAGTTCAATTTATTTCAATTTTTGAAATTTGCAACTTTTATGAGGATACTATTAGTCGCTAGATGGCCGCCCAGTCCGAAGCTTTTCAGTGGCTGTTTCCACCATTACCTGTCATCTCGACTAGGTAGAAATCGAGGCAAAATTTTATTGTATACTAACTGTATTGTTGTACGTATTGCCTGAGGAGACTCCATATTACTTGTGGAATACAATATATCGCATACTAATTAGATCAGTTTTCATATGTAGGAATAAGTCTATTTCTCGATTTTTTACCTATTCCCATACATTATTTTCATCCATATAAACATTTAAACAATTCAAAAGCTCAAGAGCTCAAACCATGCGCTACATTAGCTAGAACCTACCTACACGACGCCTTTTCGCAAATGATTGCGTTTTGATAACAAATGTGCACATACAGATTTGGATACGGCAATGGCAATAGATTGACAGTTAGTACGCAATAAACTTTGGCATGATAAACGTTCTCTGCTTTGGCCTGTCTAGACTAGCCGTTATGATTATCGAGATAATATTTATTGGCTGTGAAAATTAATCCATTTGACATTTTTACATAAAACATCAACATCAATGTTTACGAATTATGTTGGTTCTTTAAACGACATTAATGTAGCCGTACCGCAATAGAAGATTTTAGAGTATAAACACGTAGAATGACAAGAACCAGTCACAAGAAAAATCGGCCGTTCGATTTTAAGTTAATATCATTGGTCCAACCGCATCCTGTACTATATCACCGGCAATGGGGTGGACTTTCAACATTCGAATGCATGAAAGAAAAAAATCGAATATGGAGTACTATTGCTTCAGAAATGGGAACTACTCGTAAGGACTATTATAAATATTGGAGCATAATATTATATTTATTTTATGTTTTGTATGTTTATAGCTGGTTTCTGTCTCAGTCGTTGGAATAATCTGCGAAACCACTTCCAGAGGGAACTTCGCCATTGTCACGAATTATGCCCTAAAGAAGGTACAATTCGAGGATCAACATGGCCTTATCTTGAAAGTATGCGTTTTCTTGAGAGAACTGTCTGTTTAAACAACTCTAGTAAACGTTCACGTATTAATAAACGTGAAAGATTAAGTTTGCATTCCAAGAATTTGGAAGCAAGTGAAGAAATCTTATCGCGATCTTCACCATATAACAATTATCAATACAATGACACCATTATTGAATACGAAGAACTAACAAATTCGGGCTTCGAGAAAGAAGCTTTTCCGATTTTTCAGAACGAAACTGAATTTTATCATGAACGGATGTTAAACTATGAGCGAATGGCAACTTTATTTAACAATGTCCCCAATGAAATTAAAGACCATATCGAGCGCAGAATAATGAGTTACTTATGCAAGTGTCAATTGCGAGCAATAGCAAATGATGGTATTGCCGACGTAGAAATTTGATCCCAATAAAACAATATTACAAAACAATATTAAAACAAGTATTTACCAGCCTATATTTATATTTCCAAAACTCATGTAAATATGCACAAGCATAATAATAAAATCATAATTCATTTTACAAAAGCGTATACCAGAAATGGCTAGTCTAACATTAATGGCAGCTAAACAGATACTTTATCCAAATCAATCCATGATATTTTTGGTTTTTGTAGAAACTCATCAGGCGATAGCTGGTCCAGAGAAACAATTTGTTCTCTTACATACTTGACTAGACGTTCAATCTTTACGACGTCATTACAGTTCATGGCAAAGAACCGTCGCCATAAAGCACCAGATAATACTCGATCATCTGACATAATGCCTTCGTCGTAAGCAATTAATGCTGCTTGAAATTGTTCCGAAAGGATTTCTATTTGTTGTCGCGTTCTCGATGGGTTATGTGCCTGCAAATAAACACTGTTTAAGGCAAAATATATGTATGTTTCAAGATATAGAAAACTTGCCCCTAGCTTCTTAGCACGCGTATTTACATCGCCCCACATAACTTCTACAATACAATTACGAATAAAACGACCATTTTCTCCAGATTCCGAACCCTCAGCCATAGCTCGCACAAGTAGCATCCATACATGTAATTCAGTAACCAGAAACCATGAGTTGAATGTGTTGGGCATATCAAAAGCTTTAAAAAAACTTAAATAGTTTATTTTATCAGCAACACTTTCGTACAACATGTGACTGGCCACCCTTAAGCGCTAAGCAATAAAATCTATAATTATTATTTTTAAGAAACAAAAATGTATTCATCAAATGCAATCCTAACCGTTTTTGTATTCGGTGCGAAGCCAACTTTATTCAAAACACGCTTCAATATATTGCTATCCGATCTCTCATGATTATTATTAACTACATTTGTTCCGGATGTACTGCATTTCCTATAGTTCTGTGTGCATACTTTCCATCCATTATTAAAGGTATTAGCATTGTTGCACACTAGAATATTACGCTGTAAAAACTATTAATATGCATAGTTACTCGTTTATGTACACATACATATGGGCCTTTCAAATTCGCATACACAAGTTTATGTAAGATTTTAATTATTTCACAATTAAATAAGCTCCATTATTTTAATTTATTTTACCTCTGCTGAAACATATTTATTCACAGAAATTCGAGTTAATTGCCTAAGACGTATCATTTCGCAAACTTATTTGTAAATTAATTAAAAAATTTGTAAACACACTTGCACAGGTTTCTCTAGATAGGTACGTTCACTAAGATAATAAAACAACTGGGATATCTAATGTCAAAACCAGCTGATAGTATAGTAAACGCAAAAGTTTTGTTTAGATGTGAAAAGTTATTTTTTATTTGTTTTTACTTTGTATAGAAGGATGCCTATATTAGTAAAAACGTAAGTACTCGAGTAGTGGTTTTAGAGAGAATGTTTATTTAAAAATGTTTTATTGTATTTTCTATTTTTTTTTCATATTATATCGACATTTTTTTAGATTAAACTTTCTAAACATACATTGATAGTAAATATTATAAAATTTTCAGATCTTCACCAACTATGCTTGAGGAATATGCAATTGTTGAGTTGCAGGGAGATCTCGAAATTCGTTCCGAAGAGAATATTCATAATCTGTTTATAGGGGACTTATATTATAATAAATACGGACAGCCTGTAAAATTTGTGTGACAGTTGTTGGTTTATCAATTTAGTTTTATAAATTTTAGATACTTATAATTGGGCATCATATCTTGCAAGGACGAGAGCAAAAGCTCGAAAAACCTTTCGCTGTGCTTGAAAAATTGAAAAGTAAGGATGGAAAGTCTTCATTGAACGATGCAAATATGGATTCCAACGCTACACTTAATAGAACAGTTGATTGTACAATTTTAGACAGCACAGTTGCTCTGGAAAATAAATCACGACAAAACACCGAATACGTAGTTCGAGCTTTATGCACAAAAAAACTCATCTTTAAATCGCGTCCAAAACCTATTATTGCGAATATTGCAACTTCCGTTTGAAATGAGAACCATTAATTAAAATTTTTATATTTTTATAATAAACCCATAATACATTCAAATATTAGATTTTCAATTAAGATTTTTTTCATTATACTATTTCCATTTCTCTTTCTATACCTACGAACTTCAGTTGCTCAGTAGGCCCATATCTATAGTCGAAGAACAGCTCTTCTCCAGGTTGAATGGCACGTTTAGCAAATATTCCAATTCTATGATCTCCTGTTACCATCATTACCTTAGCGTAGCAATTCGGATTAATTGAATGGTTGGCAAAACGAATTTTATTGCCTTTTCTCGTGGCGTCAACGACGAAGTCATTGTTTAGATTAAATAAAAATGAACACATATACTTGTCATACACTTTGCCCCTCCGATCGGCCTCGTCTTGGGAAATGATTTCGCCACAATACTCTGAAATAAACTCGTTTTTTTGAGCGCCTTCTTTAAGAAATATTCCCCATCCCGCTATATCGGAAGGCGCCATTAAAAGATGTTTATCTGGAAACGAAATTAATATAGGAGTATAATAATCGCAAAGCTCAAGGTTTCTTACGTAATCCACGCTGTACACACACATTCTTGCAAGTTATTTTTGTCAGCTTGAATTGATCGGCACCGCAAGCCTGACATAAATCTGGATCGCACTCACGCACTGCCAAATAACACGGACATTGCTTCGTGTTACATTGCGCCTTGCAACGACAACCAGGAAACCGATTTTGACAATCACTACTGCAGTTGCAAAATTTCTCGCAAAAGTTCTGAGTTTGAATGCAAGAGCAATTCATGTCGCAGGGCCCAGTATGATCACATGGTGTATAGTTATAGACGTGATTGGAAGAAGAATCTTTCTTTAGTTGAATTTTTCGACAATGCAGTGACCAAAGGCGTTGCTTCTTCTTCTTTTTACGTGGTGGAGTGTAATCTTGACGTAATTCTTCAATACAAAACTCTGCTTCCTCTTTTTGAGCAAACTCATACACCTGAAACGAAATTTCGTTATTCGATAAAAATAAAGTAAATGTAAAAACATTATTTGAATATGAATTTCTTACCTGTTGACATGTTTTTGTAAGCATAGTTTGAGCGATAGCGCAATAGTTTTTCAAAAATACTTTATGCAACGTTCGAAATAAAGATTGATCAGCGCCAGTCCAGTCACATTTTGAGTTTGACGTGTTCATCATTCCGGCTAATTTAATCAATTTTATTTTAAAGATATTTATATCAAACAAACAAATATTTTTCTGTGCTTTACCCATTATAGAGTTAATTTCTGCGGAAACAGCACTGTTAACAACAATACTATTTTCTTTTCCATTTTCTGCATTGAAGTCTTTATTACTAAATTGACTGTTACTGTCGTTGCTGTCTTCAGAGCTAGCTTCGTTGCAAGAATCAATCGGGGGTGTTTTACTGTCAGCAGCTAATTTTTCTTTCATACCATCCTGTCAAAAACCAAATTAAGGTTATAACCAAAAGTAAAAAAAAAAAAAAAATATTGTTCATTTCTCACCAATAACATATAACATGCATTGCTACAAGGTTCTGTAAATGGTTTCAACTCAGGAAAACGCCTTTTCTGTAGATTTGGTCCAGCATGTCCCACTTGAAGGCCTATTTCAAATCAAAAAATTATATGTTTTATGTTCTAACATTAAGAGAAGACATAATAAAATGGAATTAATGAATGTGTCGTGTTTTCAAATGGCATGAGTTTGGTGCTAAAACTGTTTTTTATTAACTTGATTAGAAACAAAAACATATTTAATGCATCCCGAAAAATCTAGTCAAATCAATTGCTTACGTACATACATTGATACTTAATTTTCTAAACATTCACATATACATGGATCACTAGCACTTTAAAGGCTTAATGCTAAGAAAGACATGAAATGTACATGATCCTCTCAATATATGTATGTATAGTGCAAACATATGTTGTCGTTATAATATTTGTAATTGAATATAAAATAATTTTCATATATATAGATTTTTTATTTAGTTTATGTGCACAGTAAAAATGGAAACATTGAGGCTCTGCAAAAGATATCATGATTTGATATTTCTGCATCAGTAGTTATCAGCAGTGGTTATGATGGCGATTGGTTATATGAAAAATGTGAACGATTTCGATTAAGTCAAAATGTCAGGATTAAGTACATAGGCATTATTAACTACAACTCACCGTTTATTTGGTGACCTAAATTGCATTCATTTGCAGAGTCGAAATTTCAGTTGCATTTTAAGAGTCATTATCATATTTAAAGATTCATTTCGGCAATAATTGGCAAACGTAAATTGCACGAAAAAGAAAAAGGAAATATAATGAGCTATATGCAGCATTAGCCGTTGGTGCTTTTTTCTTTGTATTATTTATTACTAATCGGCATTATTGCCTAAATGATTATTGGTCTTTTGAATAAATCCTATTGTATAATACTTACGATGAAGGAAACAGTCATATTTAAAACAACGGCGACAAAATAGGGTGTGGAATGAATGCATTGTGCGCTCTCGGGACACACTTTCTGCTTTTTCACCATCAATATTGGGAGTGCATTCTTGCGGTCTTTCGGGGTCCTGATGCTCGGTTAGTTCAATATACCTGATGAATTTAATAGTGTTGATTTTAATCATAATATTTCAAATAAGGATGTGATAAATACTTTTCTTTTAATTCCTGGGGATTTCCCTTATCTGGAAAGTTTGAACTAATGGCTTGGAAAATTATAGGAGTTGGAAAGGGCATTTTTTCTTTTCGCATCGGTTCTTCCTTTGTTTTTGTATTTTCACCATCTTCAATTAATTGGATATTTCGGCCATCAAATAATGAATCGCTCGATTTTTCATCCCTGGAAAGTGTGTCGGTTTTCTGAGTTTCCGATTTAGAAACACTACTACCAAAACCCACACATGATATTTCTTCTTCTTTAGTATAGTTTCGCATTAAAGCATGTACCAATTCAACGAAAATAGCGTCATCCATAAAAGATGGGTCTTTATCACCATGTACTTTACCATCATAATTTTTTATGAGCTCTTCAATAAATTTACCATCTTTGTCTAGTACTTCATCTCCCATATACGGAATATTGTGCAACACAGTTTCATCTTCTACCATGAAATTTTGCTGTGTTGGCGCCCATGTATACATTGTAGGTATTGGCGTAACAGCATTTATTATACAAATAGGTACTTTTTGTGGACCTGCACCGTTATAACCAGAAACCTCAGCTTTTTTTATACAATCCAAATGTGGAGGATCATAAGGTTGTGCATGCCAAACTTTTGGCTCGCAGTATAAATCCTGAACGTTGTAGTTATGTTCTTCCCTACTCAACAAATTTGTAATTAAATAGTTAGAAAAATAATTTTATTAAAACAAACCAATTTTTGATCCAAGCTTCCTTGATTTCATCAGCTCGTTTATATCGCTTTTGTTGCCTAATTTTCATGTATTCCGTTTTAACACGTCGCTTCCATTCTATGGGAACTTTTGATGCATTCATTTTTGTGTGCACAGAAATTTTACCAATTCAAATTTAAAACTGAAATTAATTTTTTATAACCACGGACTTTTAAGCTATTCGGGATATAAAATCAAAGAAAAAAATTACTGGCGGCAATGGATTTACATCTTTGAATGACCATCTGCTAAATGTCAACCATAACGTCAACTAAGCTGCAACTCTGATTATTTGACGTTTAATTTTAGACAGTTCTCTGAGCGGTCCAACATTACTGACATCAGTTGTCAGAAAACAAACATACCTATTAATTTAGGACTAATAAATATCCTGATGTAAAGTTTAGCCCTAGAAATTTTATAAAAATAATTGAATGTCTTAAAAAGTCGCAAAGAAAATGTGTAACTAATGTAGAATGAATTTTTGTTTTTTAATTTTTAACATAAAAAATCAATCGATCTACAAAATCGTACATAAATTATTCGAAACATGGAACCATCAGCATGTGAAGGTATTTATGGTTCTGATAGGATTTTTTATTAAATATGTTGTTCATTGTACTTGTTAAAAGACATCTAATAAATCAACATATATTTATAAATAATATAATATATATATAAAGTTTTTGTTTACTGTTCGAAGTTAATACAGAGTTTATTTACAGATTTGAAAGCATTTGAGCGCAGGCTCACGGAGGTAGTATCGTCTTATGGGCCCACTACATGTCTCTTATACACATCTAGATGTGTATAAGAGACAGCATCAAATCTTTTCGATTCTAATTTAACACACTTCGGTTTATTTATTTATTGTAATTTAATTATTAAATTAATATAATATAATTGCAGTAGTTCTGGCCACAATTTCTATATGTACAGCTATTGGAGCGTTTTATTGGCTTAGAGATCCTCGTACCTCAATTGTGCCTCTAATAGAATCGTTGTTACTGCATCCAATATTCACGCTTGCCACCTTAATGCTGGGTAATACTATAAAATTGATGAAATACTAAAAAATCTAATGCAACTATTTTTATTTCAGTTATTCTCTTTGTTATGGGCATACATAAATTAGTATTTGCTCCCAAAATTATTACAACTCGAATGCGGACCGTACTTAGCGATTTCAATATGAGTTGTGATGACACAGGAAAACTGATTCTTAAACCTCGACCAAACAATAATCTAGACGGCAGTATTCGTTAGAGGAAATACATACTGTTTAAATCTACGACAGATTGGTGGTTTTGGCACCGAATGAAGTTAAAATTATAATAACGATACTTTATCCCGCTATTATAAATTGGATAGTTTAGTAAAGTGTTTCCATTTAATAATTTTTTTTATATTAATTTGATAAAACAGATAGTTTAACTGGATTTAATTGAAATTGTAATCATAATATAAAATATATAATTTCCAAACGCGTATAAACTTTCGTTTAATTACTTCTCTCAATGAACTCTTTTTACATGAAACCTTAAAGTTGTAATCTAATAGTCTCCAGGTATTTGATTTAAAATAAATATATGCATATAATCTGAGTGAAATACTTAAATATATTTACATCACTTAAAGCAAGAAAAAATTTCGGTTATAGTTTATTTCTACATCTATTTCATTCAGTATACCTCCTTGCTTACCTTACTTATAAATAACAAAAATTTTTGTCGATACAAATTTTGTTCTTTTATTATAGTTTATTTCTCCATCTATTTCATTCAGTTTACTTTCATGTTTACCTTAGATATATATAACAAAAATTTTTGTCGATACAAATTTCATTCATTTAGCTTCGACATTTAGTTGCGTTATATTCATTTTATAAAAACAAGTTTTATATTCTATTATACTTCCATATATACATACTTATTTTCTCTTTTCGGAGTATAAATACCCTAGATTCATACATATATACTCCTTCTCTGTGATATACAAGCAATGTGTTATAAATGCAATACATTTGTTCAGATACTTAAGTATATACAAATTAATTTAAATTTTTACTAAAGAACCGCAACAAAATCTATATTCAATGTTTCCTATATATATGTATACAATTAGAAATAAAATTAAATGGGTAATAAATCAATTAAGAATATAAAATTTTTGGTATTTTATGAAATACTCGTCGTGAGTGTGGGTTTTTACTTTTCATGTTCTATAACCATGCAAACCTTAAATTTTTACCTAATGAATGATCTTATTTGCTAAATATTTAAATTATTTTCTAAATTTAAAATTTTTATTATTAACTAAACTTTGACGCATTTTTATTTTTTAACTTAGTATATGATACGTTTGCAAAATTTGAATTATGCCACAGTTATACGTTTTTTTCTGCTGTCTGCTTCTCTAAGTGGATATGTTGGCTATGTCCATCGTTATTTAGATAACGTATAAATTATAAAACTTTAACAATAGGACTGACTGAACTATGCGTCTTCTAGTATGAACATGTTATAATCATATACAATAAGTGACTAAGAACAAAATGTATATACATACATTCATATGCGATAATGTTTCTAACGTTATGGTTTTTAATATTAAATGCTTTTGTTTCGAAGTACACACGTGTGTTATTGTACTTCGTTTATACCTCATGTTTAATTTACAAAATTGTATGTAATTTCACGGAATAATTTTGTATTTATAGACTAATATATAAAAAAAACCTTTTTTATGCATTTTATAAATATTTTCATGTGGTAATAAATACTTTACATGACGGGTTCGGTAGTAACTGCAATTGAAAATAGTAGCGGGGTTCATGGCAGTTGGTTCCTGCGAATATACGCTTTTCTTCTCTTATTATTATGCTGCCAATAAATTACGTATATTCTTCGGTGTGTTTTCTTCATTGAGATGTTTTGTCGTATAACGCAATGCGTTTAACAAAGGTTCAGCCTTTATGGCCGGTTGTGCCTGTAGCAGTCGTACACAACCTTTGACGTCTACATGTGAGCCTCGAGCGAATGCTCCAACCGGATGAACATGGTCATACAAAATTACAAGCCCAACCATTACTCGTAGAACTAATAGATGCGTTTCCTCTCGCTCGATTTGTTGAAGCAATTTGCTATAATAGGCCAAATAGATAAAACCCGGTGAAATTTAATCAAATTTGTTTAACTTAAAATAACTTACGGATTTTCAAGCATTCTTAGACAAACTTTCGCCATAGTTCCTAGAGTCTCCGTCGTATTCTCGACATCGTTCGCGTTATCGTGAACGAACTTTGATGTTGCCTCACTAAGCACTTTCAGCATGGGTGTAGCGTGAGCATAGAACAAAGACATGCGGTTTGCCAATTCTGTACTCACTAACGAGTAATTTGTCTGGTCGATACGCTGTCGAGTTACAATACGTCTATAGTAACTGAAATCATTTTGTATAGCTGGGGTCTTCATCTAAAATTGTAAAATAAATATGTATATACACATGTGTGTAAGTAGATTAGTTATGGTTTAATACAATTCCCAGTCAATGCCAACGGTGGTTCGATATCATTTCAAAGTTGTGTAACAGTTATAACACATATTAAAGCCCGATCGATAGCCGATATTCCCTTTAAACACTCAATATCTTTTCATGCTAAATATTTTGTGTTTAAGATATCTGTGTCATATCATATGTCTCGGTCCCTCGATATACTTATAAATATTATTTTACTTGAAGCTGACTAACTGTATTTGACGAGTATATAGTATATTATACTATAAATAATTAATATATTTCTTCTTTGAAAGAAATTTGTTTCTTTGAAATGCTTTCGATTTTGTATGTTAACTGTAGCATTGCTTTAACATGTTTCGAAATTTCAATTATGATCTTTTCTCTATATACCGGTTTCATATTGTTGAGTTTTTAGAATAAGGTGTTTGTTAATGATTTGAGAAATAAAAAGTTAGTAATTATTATATTACGGACTGAAAATAATTTTTCGATTCAAGTTTATGAACAATAATAAGTGAAAATAACTTTATTTTTTGGAAAACCTTTTATATATACCTTATATTCATCGAATTTTAGTACAAACTCCAAAATTTCAGCAAGCTGTTTTACTAGGGCTTGTTGTGTCTCCAGATGTTGGGTAGGATTCAGTTTGCCACCAACCAATTGACCTAATAATTTTGGAACTATTTTTTCTAGCTCCAGTGAATGTTCGTAGCAACGTCTCAATTTCTTCACTAAAGGCAAAACAGCGTCCCATGCTTTTTCCTGACATTTGGGAGAAGGATCAGCAATAGCCTCACGAATTTCTTTTCCAGCGCCCTGAAACATTTTTTAATATTACCGTATGTTGAACTTTATTAAATGTTTCAAAATTTTTTGTTGCACGGTATTGATTAGAATGCAAGTTAACTACGTATGCCAATTTTTCCATTCAGTTTTGCATACAAATTTAAATTTTCATTTT